AAAAAACACACACACACACACACACACACACACACACAGAATCTGAAGCCACAAATCAAGCAAGATAGGTAGAAAATCTGGTATCACAGAGAGGAATGTTCTTACTTAGGGGTTGTTATTTGAGTAATGCTATTAGAGAGACCTAACAAGTCAGAAGATGTCACAGTAAGGAAGGGGACCAAAAACAAACAATGATACATGTGAAGATGAAGAGGACATAAGACATGAAACCATGATTACAATTTTAAGGAACAAGAAAATTGTATTATCCCATGCATCAGTTACATTTTTATCCACAAGAGTTACATTTTTATCCACAAGAAAATTGTTTAGTCAATTAGACAATTTGAAATTTTGACTAAATTAATAAGAATTAAAAATAAAAAAAATTCTCAGGAGGACTCTTGGAAAGTAGGAGATTCGGTAAATTCAATATTTTATTTTTATTTTTAATTAATAGTCTATTGTCTAAAGGAAGGGGGAAAAAAGAAGTAAAAAATTGACACAGAAAATAATGATAAGTGAATGTACATGTCAGTTGAATCAGAAGAATATATAAAAAATATTAAACAATGTGCACTTCAACAAAGGACATAACTGAATTGCTACTCATAGCAAAGCAAAATATATGGCATGTCCAATAACAAAAGTAAATGTGAACACATTCTATTGAATAAATTATTTTCTAAAGTTAGAGATCATACAAAATTTGAATGAAAAAGTCACAGAACATCTGAAAGAATTCACCAAAATATAAGACTACTGCTTATCCCAGATCTTTTACTTTAAAAATTGGTATTACTTACATAAAATATAAATAATATAGATATAATTCCCCTCCCCTCTTTTTTCTTTTAACTCAAACCAGTTACAAAAAAGTGAGTTTTTTTATATTCTGGCAAATTTTGAGGAACTACATTCAAGTTATAAAAATAAAGGTTGTCTGATATTTTGCTAAATACAGTAGTTGGATCTCCACAATTCACTTGTAATAAAAGAGGGCAGACGAATGTATACACCTATTTAAACAAAAAAGTAATACTGAGAAATCCATAATTCACTTCGCCTCTATAGTCAATTTTTCTGACTGGACCAGTCAATTCTTTCAACATCTTAAACCTTGTTCGTTTCAAATGATCACAAAATATTCATACTGATTAACAATACCTGTTGACAAGAGGTATAGCACTGTTGTAATTTACTCTGGCGCCTTCCTCTGCACAATACGTCGTTTCTGTATCAGCTATTCCTTCAATTATCTCTGTATCTAGAGGAGAAGAAACCCGGGAGCCACTGAGAATCTGAATACAAAATACACTTATAGTCAAATAATACAGTAATGTTAATAGAATTTCATTTGCTATGGTATAAAATCTTTACATTTTATTGTTCATAGAACTTTGCGCAAAGAAATTTTAAAATAAATATGAACTACAAATAATTAAATCTTAGATTTGTAAAGATGCACAACTGATATTATTAAAATTTTAGAAGTTGTTCCTATAATACAATAGCATGTAACAACAGAGCAATATATGTGCAAGTGTTATACACCATTTCAGGGGGTTCACATTCAGGGGGTTAATCACAATTCACTTAGCTTATAGGAACACTTTTTCTATGAATTAAGTTGATAACAGAGTAGTGAAATTTCTTTTATTTGCAGCTTTAACCCTTTGCAGACTTAATTCTTTGAGCACTACATTTTCATGAGCTTTTAATTTAAATCCTGCAGATGTGTGACAGTGACACACTTGCAACACATTGGCAGTTTCTAATTTTTGGAGCAAAAACGAAAAGGCAGTTAAGAAACAATGAAAATGTGTTGGTTCATATTATCACTCTTTTGACATGATAGTAGTCCAATAAAGTATTCAATAAATGAAAATGACA